GCGCAGCGCCTCCCGCCGCCGCCGCGCCCGCAGCAGCCCGGAGGAGCCCGGCGCCCCGCAGCCCCGGCATGGAGCGCCCGCTCAACCTCAGCTGCCTCGCCGATACGACGCCGGACAGCGCCAACAGGAGCGGGTCCGCTGCCGGCCCCGAGGGCGGCCAGGCCCATCTCTCCGTCTTCAGCGTGTTGGTCCTCACCCTGTTGGCCATGCTGGTGGTGGCCACGTTCCTCTGGAACGGGCTGGTCCTGGCCACCATCCTCCGCGTGCGCAGCTTCCACCGGGTGCCCCACAACCTGGTGGCCTCCATGGCCGTCTCTGACGTGATGGTGGCAGCCCTCGTCATGCCCCTCAGCTTGGTGCACGAGTTGTCCGGGCGGCGGTGGCGGCTKGGCCGGTTGCTGTGCCAGGTGTGGATCTCCTTCGATGTGCTGTGCTGCACTGCCAGCATCTGGAATGTCACGGCCATTGCCCTGGACCGCTACTGGTCCATCACCCGCCACCTGGAGTACACGCTCCGCACCCGGCGCCGCATCTCCAACATCATGATTGCCCTCACCTGGGCGCTCTCTGCTTTTATCTCTCTGGCCCCACTGCTCTTTGGCTGGGGAGAGACTTACTCAGAGGGCAGTGAAGAGTGTCAAGTCAGCCAGGAGCCTTCCTACACCATCTTCTCCACCTTTGGGGCCTTCTACCTGCCCCTCTGCGTGGTGCTCTTTGTGTACTGGAAGATCTACAAGGCTGCCAAGTTTCGAATTGGATCTCRGAAGAGCAACTCCATCACCCCTGTCACACCAGAAGCAGTGGAGGTAGGTCAGCTGGCTTCTGTTTTGCTCAGGTCAAGCACTGGCAGCAGGCAAGTGGGGTAAACTTCGACTGAAAGTGTGCAAGCAAACAGTGATCCACCAAAGCCCTGTGGATCCTGGAGGCTTCCAAGGGAAAGCTGATTGCAAAGCTTGCAAACCCAGGCTGCTGGCTCCTTCCGAGCCCCAGCTGTGAGCGCTCAAGGTGTAACTAAAGTAACTTTGGGCAGATTGCGAGCCTGAGCTCCACGTGGGCGAGCGGTGACTCACAGATGTCCCCCCATGGAATGCTGAATCAGTGCTCGCCGGCATGAGTAAGGGGTCACCAGCCCTCCCGTGGGGAGGCAAGGGGAGAGTGGATGGATGGGGTGCTGGGTCTGCTGGAGACAATAACTTGGCAACCATCTGTGGCTGGGGGGACACTGTGAATTAACCCAGACACATGTGCAGATTGTCTTTGTAAATCTCTCCTAACYGTGACTGCATCGTGTCAGTTCATCCCAGGCACGGTGACTGTGCTGTAAAGATTTCTTGCAGGGAGGAAGCAAATGTGTGCTCATTTTCTTTCCTCTCCTACCAGGACTCTTAAACTCAATGAATTTAGAGAAAGTAAGCAGACTTCTGTGCTCGGCATGTGGGTGTATGCCTGTTCTGCTGATCTGATTGTAAGTGGGGAAATAATCTAATTGCAACGCTGTGTGAGCAATCCCATGTACCCTCAGCACTCTCTCTAGCTTCTAATCTCACTTAAAATAGTCTCCATCCCTCAGAAGAGGTCACAGAGCCCCTTTCCCCTCAATTAGAGTGTGACGTGGATGGCCTGTGTTTCCCCTGGAGCCTTGGCCCTCGCTGGCATTGTCTGGCTCTGTACCTGCTGTGTGGGATCACYTGACTGAGGTACATACGGTGCAACTCGTGTTTGTGTTTGGCAGGTAAAAGAAGCTGCCCAGCAGCCACAGATGGTCTTCACTGTCCGTCGAGCCACTGTTACGTTCCAGACGGACGGAGACACGTGGAGAGAGCAGAAGGAAAAGAAAGCTGCCCTCATGGTGGGCATCCTTATCGGGGTCTTTGTGCTCTGCTGGATCCCTTTCTTCATCACAGAGCTCATCAACCCACTCTGCTCGTGTGACATCCCACCCCTTTGGAAGAGCATTTTTCTATGGCTGGGCTATTCAAATTCCTTTTTTAATCCACTCATCTACACTGCTTTCAACAAAAACTACAACAATGCCTTCAGGARCCTATTCTTTAGGCAGCAGTGAGCAGATAAAGCTTCCCTGCTGCCCCAGGAAGCTGATTTCAAGTGTCAATGATTCCTACCAAATTCCTGAGGAAGTTCAAAGTCACAGATGCTGAGGTGATGCTGAAACCACGTTCCCGGGGTTGTAAGTCCCAGCAACAGCCCCAGTCCCTGGGCAGGCTCCCCATCCCTGCCTCTTAGCTGCTCTTTTTCCTGCAAGTAGCATGYAAGGGCTTCTCCTGCCGGCAGCCTGGCTTCCTCACTCCAGCGCCCTGCTGTGTTCCTCCTGCCTCCCCAGTGACTCTGGTGGCACCAAAGGTGCAGGGAGTCCACTGGCAAAGAAACGCCGGTTTGGCCACTGCTGGTGTCCCACAGCATTAATCGACTTTGTCCCATGTGCAAAGCTGGGAGACTATAACATCAGGAGGTTTTGTGATTACATATGGGAGTACACATTTTATGGCTTGGCTGAAAACATGCTTTGTCTTGTCTTTCACTGGTAAAGACTGCAAAGTGCTTGTTTTTGGGGAATAAAACCCTTGGTAGGGGTTAAGTGCAGACTAAAGTATCAAGCGTTTTCTCACAGACTGTATGAACAGCAAATTGTGTCTATTTACTTTTGAATTCTATGTAGCAGGTTTGGGGCTTTTTTTTTTTTTTTTTTTTTTTTTTTTTTTTTTTTTTTTTTAAGATACTTATTGTGAAAGCTTAATGCATGGTGTACCCTGGAATGAGAGAGGATGCATGGGAAACTTGCCTCTCGTTCCCTGACTGCTATGCGTGAGCATCTGCCTCAGACCTTTATGTTCAGAAATACCAGCTGTAAATGCTAATCTTCATGMCTGTTGTTTCCCATTTTAAACCATAAATGTGTTTTGAGCAGCTGTGGGCAGATTTCCTTTCGTTTCAGGGAATGCAAGGAGTGCATTTCTAGTTGCCTGTCAATGAGGAGCTGCGTTTTACCATTTTTGAGTGCAATCCAGAACTTGAAACCGAAGGAAAAGACTCCATGAGCACTGGGTTGCAAAGGCAGTTAATTATAGGTGATGTTTCTTTCTGGGAGCATAATCAAACCTTAGGGCTTTTCTTCTGCAGGGACCAGACTCGAATATTTATTGTTTTGCCCACCTGTCCTTCTCCTGCYCCTCTAAGGCTCCATCCTGCATGGTTGTTACTTCTCTGTTGCCTCCCTGCCTTTCCACATTGCTAACTTAATTCTAGTAGTTGGCATTTCACTYCCAGAATCAGTTACACTCTTTTTACTGTACTGCTGAAAGACTGACAGGTCTGCAGATAAAGGGAAATATTAGTTTTAACTTGGTTCTGGGGCAGCCACTGAAATCAGACCAGAGCTGAAATGGTGGAAAAAGAGACAAGATGGAAATCACAACGACCTGATTTCATGTCAGATATCTCAATAAGAGATAAAAGGGAAATATGTCAATAAATCATGGTAAAGCTCCCTGGGGGTGGGTAGTATTAGTTTCTATCTTTAGCAGATCGTGAGACATCAGATGTTAAAATTGTCACTGGTTCTTTAAAGCACTCAAAAATCCTGGCAGAGTTGGCAATAAAAGCCCTTTTTCTTTTCCTGTCTCTGGATAGGTGAAAATGGAAGCAGAGGTCAAGGTGCTATTAAAGTGTTGCAGCCCTTTCAGGACCAGTTAGACAAACATCCATCAGCACTAATGTGGATATAGCTGATCCTGCCCTGTGGCAAGAGGAGAAATAGGTTGGCCATTGAGATCTTTMTTAACACTATTTTATAAAAGTCTGTTAGAAATATTGGGTAAAACCTTGCCCTCATTGAAAGCAGTGGACAATTTTTCAGTGATTTCAAATGAATCAGGTTTTTATGTGGCATGTCTTGTCTCGTAAAAGCGTAGTTTTAATGTTAATTAATTCAAGGAGAAGATGTTTGGGATAGGAGTAATCTTCTACCTCCCATGAAAGAGTCTCTSACCTGCCCTAACCATGGGCCAATCTTTACAAATAGTAAAGATCATTTTCTTTCTTTGTTACATATTTAAATATATTATTAGTGAATCTCTGATGTATCAAAAGTTGTAATAAACTCTTGAGCTGCTTTTTTGTACTGAGTATATAAAGGCTGTGCTGCTTTCTCTGGACAGTCCATCACTGGTGTTGAGTTGCTCTGTTTGGGAATTGCTGCTTTTGTTGTGCCAAGGGTTGTTTAAAAAAACTTGTAAAAAATGTCCTTATTCAAGCCAGAACTTCAGCTAAGACTGGTGATGCCTTAAAGTAGGAGACTATTTCTTAGGTCCCCAGAGTGACACTTCAAACACTTTGAAGCATGGATTACCTGGGAAGTTGGATGTYAGTACCCCATTTTCACAAATAACACCACGTCTGCAACAACCCTGTGTSAGTCCCAGCTGTGTCCATGCCATTTTTACTTGCTTTTTTATGGGTATTGCAGATTCTCTGTTTCTGTTGTGGRGAGTCCTTGTGCTGGCTGTGGAATCAGCTGCAAACTCAAATTAATCTGTCACTGTAAGCAGACAAAAGTTGAACTGAAATCAGTGGGAAAGTTCCCTACTTTTGCTGCAATTCAGTGCTGGGGTGAAGCTCCCTTTAATTACACYTTGTGTTTATTCATGCTGTGCCTTAAACAATGACAGGGAGACGGTATAATTTTTAAATCACACTAGATAATTCTAATTTGTCTGTGGTTATGAGTAGTCTGCCATCCTGGTGTAAACTATATTCACATTTATTTGACTGCCCACATCCCATATAACCCTTTTCTGAAAAAAAACGCTTTTAGCTGGTTGTAAGATTTGTTCTTTTGAATCTTGACAAAATTAGCAGTGTTTTTATTGGCCAATTTCTGCAGCTCATTCTTGAGACCTAACACCATGGGCTTTTCTTCTGAAGACCGTTCCTGCAATGCCATATGACCAGGCAAGGAAAATACAATTATTCTGGAGGTTGCACTGCAGAATCATAATGAAATATGCCACAATGATCTGATCGTGGTGAAGTGGCACAAAGAGACCTTGACATCTGATCTGGGCTCTGAGCCTTTTTACAAACCTCTCATTATTCAAACACAGATGCTGAGTGGGCTCCCAGAGACCCAAATCATGTTTGAAGRCATAGGCAACCACAGCTTCAAAGAAGGCATCTTGTACCTTCTTGTTCCCATTTACACACAGAATCAGTGGTGTGAAGAGATCTGCCTCACCGAGGCTTTGTGAGGATTAATTACTAAATGTTTATCATGTACCARGAAGGTGGAACACTCTGATTTGAATGCCGAGCAGCATTATAAATTGAGCTTCTATTTAATTCCTCAGAAGAACGTTATTACCCATTATTATTGAGTTTTGTACGCAGTTTAACGGCTATATAATACTTCCAGAGAAGATTTAACTAACCTGCTTCCACTTACAATTAATTTAGTTCCCTCTCAATGCCCTAACAATTCAATGAACATCTGTACAGGAGCTTGGTAGCGAAGGCAGCGTGTGCTGAATTCTGGCCGCTGCTGAGCGTCTCGTCGCGATGCTGAGCGCATGCTGTCCAGSTTCAAGGAGCAGCAGCTCTCTAGACAGTCTGCTCCGGGTTTCTTTTATTTTTTAGGGAGGAGAAGAAAAGGTCATTGAAGAATGCCTGCGGATTCCGTGACAGGCTGGCTAAACACCTTCCTCCTCCACCCCCAGCATGGTGGCCTTTCTTCTCAACGCCAGCAGGTCACGCAGGTGACTCCAGGACACGCACTGGCCCTGCACAGCCAGGGGTGAGCCACGCATGACTCCATCCCCCGGCAATTTTCTGTGGCTTTTCATACTAATTTCTGCCAGGAGACGTGTCCTTTAGACTGTCAGCAGCAGTTTAAAGTGGGAGTTTCCTGGAAGTAAAGTCGCTGGTAATTAAAGAAATTTCACCTGACAAAGGTAATTAATGACTACTCCTCCCAGCGATTTCAGTGGTGAGGGTTGACTGACAAAGTGTCAAAGTGATTTTTGCAATGCAGTTGTTTGAGCTGCTTTGTTCATGAAAGGTTCATCATTTTTTATTCTTGTACCCCTTATTTTACCATCACTGGTAGAGCATCCCCCTGGGACTCCAGCTAAGTCACGATGAACGTGGTACAGGCACCATGAATGCTCCATGTAAAAACACATCTGTGGCAAAATCAGCATGCCCACTGCAATAAACCCCAGCTGAAAATCATGACATTGCCAGCATTTCATCAAATTTAAGACATGGCCAAAAAGCTCTTTAAATCCTCATTATTTTTAGTTACACCGAGGTGCTGAGGAACTTGCAGAAGACTGGAAGAGAGCTGGAGCTGTGCCAGGTTTTTAAAAAGGCAAATTTGGAGAGCCAAGTATTTCTAAGACTAATGCTGTTACTGATTTACAACTTGAAATTGATCCTTGGCAAAAAAAGTGTAAGAGCTGATAAAGGACYCAGTGAATAAAAAATTACAGGAAATAAATATAATTAAAATAAATCACATTGATGTCTTTGATTGCAGTGCATGGTTCATTGCTGATGGTGATMAAGTATTCACTCAATAATGAATCTGACTTGACAACACTCAATGCCTCCATTAAACATTGAAGAAGAAACCAATACTAGGTTCAAACTGTCCAATAATTGCTAATGACTTATGGACTGGGAGAGGTGTAAATACGGAAAATAAGGTCACTTCTACAGAGAAACAAGGATGAAAACTGRTTGGGAGCATTTCAGCCTGGCATGAGGGAAAGGCATGTGTCCAGGAGCAGTGGGATGGGGCCCCAGTGGCAGGAGGAAAGACAAAGCTGTGATGAGGTGCATCAGTAGCTGAACATTTGGCATTTTTGGTAGGCAGGCTTATTTCTTGCCTGTGCATGGGCTGTGTCCAGCTGTGGTTTTGTTCTGCTCACTGGAGGAGAGGCTGTGATTTTAGTTCAGCGCCTTTTTGCTCTTCCATCCTCCTTGCCACTGCCGGGCAGTCAGCCTTGGCATTGCCATTCTGTGTCATTTCCCATGCTGGCCAAGTCAAATACTGTCCCTAATCATCCCCAGCAGCAAGACAGATGGGCCTTTTCCCTGGATCCCCCGGTGCACTGCTGTTGTTCCTCTGTCTATCCGTTTCAGCAGTGGGAGCAGCGGCTTCTGCAGGGCTGGAGCCCCAGTGCTGCTGGTGGATGGGATCAAAACAGGGCTGGGTGCAGCTCCAGGGGCTGTCCATGGAGCAGGCACAGCCCCATCACTGCTGTCTGACTGGAGCCAGGATGGGCAAACAGAAAACTGG